AAATAACTGTTTTAGCATATACCAACAAGTTAAAATCTCAAAAATATCATTCCTATGCTTTCAAAACAATAAAAATAATTGATTTTCTAATTGTTAAAATTTAATTTGATTAAAAAAAATTACAAAATTTTTAAATTTTGGCATGTTTGGACAGAGACTATTGTCATCATCAGTTGGAAAATGAATTAATTAATAAACTACATATAATATGTTCTATATATAGTTTGTAACTGATGATGAAAGAAGTCTATGTCGAAACATGCCTAAATTAATTTTTTTTGTGGTTTTCATCAAAATTCTAGTGAGTCTGCTAATTTCTAGACTATTTTAATTTGCTATATTCAATTTTTGTATGACAATTAATGTTCATGCCAATTAGGTGTATATTTAAATGCAAAAATATTCTAAAAAAAAATTATTAAGACTTTTCATATCTTGWTTTGTGTTTCTTGTGTCTTGATTTTCTGGAAGGAACCTCCTCCTGTCTTTGTCTGTGTTTTGCCCTTGARCTATCCCTTCTATGGTCACAAGTTTCATATTTAGTTTCATGTCTTCTTTCATCAKAATCTCTGTTATGCCTTTGAGGTTTCTCCTTGTCATCATAATCTATTTGAAAAACATAATATTATGCTTAAATACTATAGTAACTTAGCTACTGTGCTARATAAAAAGTGTAAAAAGGCAGCAAGCAATTAAGTTGGATTTAAAGAAAATAATAAGCAATAATTGGATGAGGTTGCATGATAATATTATGGTAAAAAAAGTACCATGCTTTGGCTGTTAGGCTGAGGCCATAATATATAATTTATGCACTGGTAGCAAATGAGAAGTGGAGCACCGTATGAATCAGCTAATGGTCGTGTGATCACATAATGTGGCAAGCCCTTTCCATTAATTGATCAATTAACTTTGGCATGTGAGTGGAGCAGAGTATGAAATGGGTGGCATAAGATGGATTCCAGTACCACCTTCAACCTTTTTTTTCAATACCTGAAACAACCACTAGGCTTATCTAAGTGATGGTTCAAAGATTAAATTTGTAATTTAGTCTGTTAGGTTTTGTGAAGGAAGGAAGACTGCCTAAACGAGAGTAAACCCTTGAATTAAGGTAAAGGTAGACTGATTCCATGAGTATGTTGCAGTTTGCTCTCCAAGCACAAGAAGCAAAAGCTACAACTTGGAATCAGTCTAAGGTAGATCCTGCAATAAACCTAATTAAGGCCATCAAGGGTGTGAGGTGATCCAGTGGACTGCCACTAAATATTACCCTTGATCACCTCAATCACTGAATTATTTTGGGGTTTTACCTTTTGRCTTTTCTTTCTTTTTAGATGGCTCAAGTGTACTTCTAATCATGTTGGTGAGAAATCTCTTGTTTGTGCTTGGTACTGGGCATTTTTGCCTATTATTAAAAAGAAATAAATTAAAATGAGAAATAATTTATAAAATGTACAATTAGTATGATAAGCTTAATGAATAAGGAATGTTGATGATGATGTTGACATAAAACAAAATTAATGTTGGATGATGATGATATCAGTGACAAAGTTTAGAGGGGGTGGTGGGGGGAAATCGTGTTGTTTTTGTTTTTTATCAATTTATCTTTCTAATCTCAACAGTAACAAAAAATATATATAAATAACACTTCGCCAGATAAATCATAAGTCACCCACGACATTATCATGATGATGGTGACGTTATTTAATGAGGTTTTAAAAAACCTGGCTGGATATACGAGCCAGTAGCTAGGTCCATCTTGCTATTAATACATGCACTCCTAACATACCAGCCMATTGCACCCATTGTTTCGGCTCTAATCTTTCCTCGTTTAGCCTCATTCAGCAATTCTTCTTTAGCCAACCTTTAAAAATAATTGAAATTATATTAAAAAAATCTCCTGTTTTATGTCTTCACAGCAAGCTGATTCAAAGCCTCATATGATAGTCTATACCTTTCCAGCTCCTTTTCATCCATATTAGTTCTATTTTTCTTATGACTCACTTCTTTTTAGGATGGACAGAGGATGGACAGTATTTTGTCGCCTCGTCCGCCATTTTGTTTTTCTGTCTGACCGTGAAGCCTGGTACCCTGACAACCAGTCCCAATCCCTCGCGGTATTCAGGCGGCCATTTTGATTTTCAAAACGAGAACTCGTTTTTTAGAAGAACAATATGGCTTTTTCGTTTGGGACGCCAGCATCATCTACCAGTGCCTTCAGTGGATTTGGTACTCCAGCTAGTACCACATCAACGGGTTTGTTTGGCGCGACTGTTCCAACTACTTCGTCTACTGGGTTTTCATTTGGTAGTTTGGGTGCATCGGCTTTTGGAGCTAAAACAACAGCTTCAAGCACTTTTGGTGAGTGATAATTATGATACAGAATATTATTTACTGACAAGGGCAGGACTGATATTTTAAGAAGGGGTGGGGGGTGGGGAGTTGCAAGTCAAGGCAAATGACTCCAGAATATAAAATAACTCACAAAAAAAGTACATGTAGAAAGAAGAAAAGATACTGAGAGTTGTAGTGCGTGGAAAGGGAGTCAGTAAAGTTGTCATAAAAAATTGCGACTTGCCCCTTATCCCTTTTTCAAATATRTAATTGGGTCCCCATACTTGCATGATCATGTATTGCTTTGTATGACTGCATGTGCAAGTGAGACAGTCGATCAGTAGGCATGTAAATGTATAAAGTATTGAGGACATCCTTAAAAAAGTTACAGTTTTTAAGATCACTGTCAATCATTGAAATTGCTTCAACATTTCACTGCTAGAATCACCTCATGCATGAAAGTGTGATCATGATCAACTTTTTGTCTATCACATAAAATTTGCTACATCCAGAGTAATTGGTACCAAACACAGGGATCCCAACCTGCAACATAGAATGATCATTGTTAATATTGGCGTTATAGGGAATAAAGGGTAGTAGCTAGCAGTAGTGCACTTACCTTTCACCTCTGGTGTCTTGGGCTGGGTGTCTTGCACCATCTTGAAAAGTACTATAGTCCTGCCTTGGCATCGTCAAGCGAGATAAATGGTAACCTTGCAATGATAGAGAC